TGGGCTAGGGATAGCCATTACACATACACCGATTTAAGTGATTAGAAATTGGTTTAAACCTGTAACAGTCAGATGTTCAGTGCACAAAAACCAGTTTGAAAATGGCTGAAACCGGTTTGAGATAAACCTTGTTGAATGTAGTACCAGACTTAACTGATTTGGCTCAAACTGGTTTATGCAATGTCTATCCCAGACCCCTTGCTGGCTTAAGATAAACCAGACTCCCCAGCATCCCAGTATGCTCTCTGCTCCACAGCAGGGCTGGTCCCTCCCCTCTGCTCCCTGGTTGCAGCTCCAGCAGAGACTACAGGTATAGCAGGGTCTGCCTAGCTTCCCCCTGCCCTCCCCTCCCCCTTCTTGCTGTTTGCTAGACAAGCAGGGATCCCCTCTTCCTCCCTCCTATCTCCCACAGCATGGACTCCAGCACCACAATGCTTAGAGGTGTCTGTGTGTGCGTGTCTCCAATTTCACTGGGACAGGCAGACAGAAAAGTGACTGTTTAGGGCTTTTTGGAGCTAATCAACAGGTCAGCTGGTAAGCTGTTTAAAAAGAGTTTGAACTAATGGAGAGAGGCTATTTGTTTTGCTTAGGAGGTGATAAACACTGTTATCAGCAGGGATCCTGGTTTTCTCTGATTAAAAACAGCGAATTCTCTGATTAAAACCCCCAAATCCTTAATTAAAATTAAAGGCCCCCTACAGCACCCCCCCGGCACTACTGGTGCCCCTCACTCCCCCCACCCCAGCCTCCTCGGATCTCCTGATGCCCCTCACTCCCCCACAACAGTCCCCCAGCCCCACACATACAGGCACAGACACTGACATTCACCCCAGCAGGTAAGTGTGTGGGGAGAAGGGAAGGTGCTGGGGGGCCAGATCAAGAAGTGGGGGGGATCATGCATCTGTGCCCACTCCCAAGAAGAGGGCCAGGTTATGAGGGCAGGGGTGCCCCTCTGTGGGCTACACACATGCCGGCTGGCCTGATGGGGGTGGTTTGCACACAGTGGCCACCACCACAACTCTGCCCCTGCACCTCGTGCTGCCTTCCTGCGGCCGGCCACATAGCTTTGCAAGCAAGTGGTGCGGGGCGCGGCAGCGGCAGTGTGGTGGTGGGTTCCACATAATAGCTGCACCCGTGCCGGCTGGCCAGCAGGGGAGGGAGGGAGGGGGAGGCTCGCATGTGGCGGCCACCAGTGCAGTGTCACTTGTGCCTCACGGCCGACTGCATGGCTCCGCGGCGGTTCAGGGTGGTGGCTGCAGTGGCTGCATGCTGCCCAGGGGTGGGGGAAGGGGCTCACAAGCCGGGTCACAGGCACGGTTCTGAAGACAAGTGGCAGTGGTGGGGCGAGGTGGGGGGGGGCGGC